CGACTGATAAACAGCACAGAAAGTGTACCAGAGTCCCAGTCAGACTCGAATGTGTATCGATCACATTGCGCAAACTGCTTGAGATATTCTTTTGTCTATACAAATAAGACAAAGATAGTATTGTCTGATCCCCGGCACATCTTAGTGGAAGGGCTACAGGCGGGCGGTTCAACAGCAATGGGCAGTGTATCAATACACGTGCTACAGTTTATGGCACACCACAATGCAAACAATAGCGATCTGTTGGATCTGCACATTTCTACGAAGGGGTATATGCGCGAAACTAAGTTATACCAGTACGAAGACGATACACTACATATTGGAAGATCGGTGCCACGTCATGGACAGGACAGGTTTACAACAGGGATGGTAGCTTGAAGGGTTTCTCATACGTACTGATTTAGGAATGTAAATATCGCTCGCTTGAGTAGTCGCTCAGTACAATCATACGATCCACAACAGTGAGAGGATGGTTGGTGAATCATACACTGTTGGCGGATATGTTGATAATGGGATTGAGAAGTCCAGGTGTACCGTGTGGGATGATGAGGAATACATCTAGCTGAGTAGCAGTGAGTGTTTTGTCTTTTGACATTATATCGGTCTTTGTTATTATGTGATACTATGCACGACGGAAGGTGTTGCTGAATGAAGTCTATGGACGTACCACACCGACTATTCCAGCATAACGGTCTTACTGCAACACAAGTACCAACTAACCCAACACGCGTGAGAGGATCATATATCATCGTATAGCTATAGGGGTATTGCGTGTACTATGATCTCATCCATTGTCTTCAGGGATACCCTCGCTATTAACTACCACCTCGACCATGCGAACTTCATCGTCGGATGGGAACAGGAATTGGTAACGTACCACTATCGGCACAGAGGGACTGTATATGAAGCACTGCTGCTAACTGGCCATATTACATAACAGTGAAAAGCCATGGAACGAGGATAGACTCACCTATCACTAGCGTAACTACGACTTCTTCTCCCCCCCCCCGTCCTTGGCGATTTCTACTTCTGGGGAAATACTTCTCAGTGAGCTGTAGAAGTAGAGGATGCTGCTGAACAACGGCATTGCCGCCAATACGTTTGCCATCTGTTGCCGCCTCATCAGCATCTCTTGGATCACCCGAAGCCTCGTGGACTGGAGTCCAAAACCCGGCAAGTAATGATGATGTCTCAGTAATACTGATTCAGTATCGCCGTCAGTATGATGATGATCCCACCTCTTCCATCTTTAAAGATCATGCCCACCACCAAGACCATACTCTATAATGACCTAAGCTCACCCCAAATGGGATAGGTAGTGGATCCCTCTACTGTTGATCCTTAGCATACATCACTAGGATAGTGATAATGAGTAGGCCTGAATCATCAGCGTTAGCAGGATCGACATGAACAGAGGAAAATACAATAATATCATACCCATCATACCTTACAGGTTATTGTGAGTGTTCGAGTCATAATGGGAAAGCACTGAAAATCTTAAACAGTACTGGTAATCAGCGTGGAAAGGTCGCGAGTACGAATCCATGCAGAGGCATTATTATCCAGATAACCATAACCCAACAACAACAAGCACCAGAGGAGTCATAAACCACCATTGAGATTATCACTATTATTATCCAACCGCCACACTTTCCTCTATGAATAATGATGAT